GTTAAATTAAATGACTGGCATAAAAACATTTTCAAGGTTAGTAACTTATATTTCTCATTTTAAAATGAGCCATTCAAATCAGTCCATAACAATACGCAAATAAAATGCACTACAAGCATAACTACATGAGATTGGCTACAGAAAATAAAGCAGCATATCCAGTACAGGCATAGAAAAATACGTACATTGTCCCTCTCACTTTAGAGCCACAACTTAAAACATTATGATGACATTTAAAGTTAAAAGTTTAGCAATTAGCAAATATTTTGCTAACTCCTAGTATTGGAGAAATAGAAATCTATCCATTCTCTATTTCTTTGCATATATGTTTTCCTTTTAAAACTTTATATATAAATGGTCAGAAATTACATATTGGCAAGCAAAACCACTGCTATAATATGTCCTCAACTGTTTTTTTCATTTTCTGTACACGAAACAGAAAAGTAGCATGTGCCATACTCTTTTACACACTCGTTTTACATGTATTGCCTCTACTACTGTGCTTACTCCACATGTTCTAGACAGTTTGATGTACATACAACTAGCCAGTTGGTTGTTTATATACAGAACTTCATGTGATTGTTCTGGTCTTGCTAAAGCAATTCACACAAGCACAACATAATACAGCTAAGATGGGTACAGTTTTGCTAGCCTTATTTACATTGTAGATGTATTATATTTATGTCTACATTGTTCTTAATTTTTACTAGTTTTTTTTATATTTTCAAAATTTATGAACTCATACAACAAAACTAACCATAAGACAAAATGAAAGTGATAATTTCCAGGTGTCGAAACATCTATTTGCTAGGTTTCTTATGTTTTTTCATTATTTAGAATTGTGTTAGGTGAGTTATCCTGTTTGTTCAATAAACCTACTGAAATTTTTATGTGCTCTCCTGTACAAGAATGAAATTATTAAAATCATAAGTATATAAATTTTGACTTTTGTGATACTATTAAGAATAGAAACGAAATTTTGTCTCTTTTGTCTGTATTTCCATTCCTGTCTTCTGTCCTTCTTGAAACTCTACTAAAATATCCTCTGGTCTTATCCTGCAATTTAATTGTATCAAAGTGGTTGACATTGGATTAAGAGTCAAAAGTTAAACATACTTCTTCGAAAATGGCTTTGGTTTTGAATTAAAACTGATGGTGTGTAAGAATAGAGAGGAATATCTATCTGTCATGCAAGGTCAATAACTATTATTATGTTTATTCTAGTTCATCTGCAAACAGATTTGTTAGAATAAATTCTTATTCTTCCTTTTTTGAAACAAATGGAGGTTGAGTTACCTCATACTAAGAAAGTCTGCTTATAATTTGCAAGTAGTGTTGAAATTTAAGTGCATTTACTTTATATGGAGTTTCATTTTAAACAAACATACAGATGTAATTAACAAAACCATCTTTAAGTAGCTAATTTAAAATATTCTAAGTTTATATTAAATTTTATAACATTTAAATGCTATATCTCTGATACTACATTTTCAGGCCTAGATATAAGACTGTATTCAGGCTGGGCATTGTGGCATATCTTTAATTACAAAACTGGAGAGACAGAGAGATGTGAATCTCTTTGAGTTCAAGGGCAGCCTGGTCTGCAGAATGAATCCCAGGCCAAGAAGGGTTACATAGATAGATCCTGTCTATCATATATATACATTCTAGCAAAATAAACACCTTTGGAGATACTATTATTCCTCTTTTGATTTCTTTCTCATATAAGGGCCAATGTATTTTGTGAAACAGCTTCAAGGATCCATACAAGATGATACTATTAATATCAAAACAGGCTATTCAGAGATCAAAATGGAAAGACCAAGTGTATGGGTCTATGGAGTGCTCACATTCTATTTGTTTGCAGTACAGTTAAAAAATATATTGATGAAGAATGGAGGTGTTTGCCTCAGCAGCATTATTTTCTTAACCTTGTCAAATACATTAACTGAAAGGTATGTCAAGCATTCTTGTCTCTAAACATCTGGAGAGCTAAATATGGGACTCACTCACTGTAAGGGTAGTCCATATTCTACAACTTTGGCTTCTAATTTCTGAGAATCAGCACAAGGGACAAAAGTAAATATTAGGTAGGCCCAGAAAGACAAAATAATCTCAAAACATGGGTGTGCATATTGGTAAACTAGTAGGAATTTCCAGGAAATAGCTCTGTACAGCCATGAGTTCAGTAGCACTTTAGCATGTCCCTCTGCTAATCTATAAGAGGCAAACTGATAGGGATGTAGGGCTGTCTTGCCAGTCATTGCTACTAGATTACTTTGTGGCTTTGATCCTGTTATCTGATTCATGTGGCTATCAGTTTCTTCACTTTAAGAAAAGAGGCAGGTATTCTTATAACTGCTAAAATTTGTTTACCTTTTATATAATGGTATTACTAAAATTTTCAAGTCTTAGATTATTTGTCTATTAAAAGGAGATGATAAAGAATTTCAACATGTCAATTGTTTTCATAGATTTTTTAGACTATATTACTGTCTGGAAAACATCTAGGAGTAAAAATTATTTTCTGTTTCATCCAAAATCATATAAAGAAACTTTATAAACAAAATACCCATAGATAAAGTAAATCAGAGCTCAATTATATATGAATTATAAAGTACCTAATCAATAAAGGGCTTGAAGAATCTCTAATTAAAGATTACAAATCTTTTTCTATAGGTTAAAATGTCAGAAAGAACTTTCTGTATATACTATATCCAGAATAAACTTTAAAATATCAAAGTTCACATTTTGCTTTTGTGGTACAGCAAGCAATATAGTCACATGTAGAAAAGTGTAGGCATCATAATTTGTGTTTAGTGAATAATGCCTATATTCTGCCATCTAATGATATAAAAAGATTCAAATAGGATATGGGAAATCTTATCTCCTGATTGAAAAATGTCAGACATTTTAATACTCTGCTGTTTTGTTTTCTTTTTGGGGGGGAGGGGATTTTCTCTCAACTATTAACATCAAACTTTGGTATATTAAGAGTATCAATAGACATGTTCTTGAGCTCTACAAAACTATGACTCGAATTTTCACAGATACTTTAGACAAAATATATAACACAAATTTAAAAGAAATATTGTCTAATATAGTTATTATGAATGAGGTGTGGCCTCATGTAAAAATAATTGTACTCATTTGCTACTCTCATTTCAGACAAAAGAGTTAGGTAACTAAAGTGACTGCCAGAAAATATAACTATGCAGGAGCTAAATGTGAAAACAGAAGTTCCATTAAACATTTGAAACTAAATGAAATATAGCTCATTTTTAAAAGTTGTCAAAATATAACAACAACTGAGAATACTTCTTATGGTGAACAGGACTACTGAGAAAGGCAGTATTTTTTGGACTCATCCTTTTTTTCAATTTTTCAGATTGGTTATATGATACATGACAAATTGTCAAGTTTTTCCAGAAAGCATGTATGATACATGACATCTTAAGGGCAAAATGGAAAAAGCCCACACATCTCTGAGCAATCACAATTTCTCATCTCTAGAGAGAATTCCATTACAAACTATGGCATCTGTCTAGTGATTATGATGGTATACTTTATATATTTATTTGTATGAGATGTGGTGCTCAAACATTTAACCAGACATTAAGGATATTTTTGTGATGCTGTTTTAGGGTAATATCACTTGAAATGAGCAGAATTGAATAAAGCACCAGCCCTCCTCCCTATTCCTACATACAGTCCGATAGAACTTTATATAACCAGTTGAAGACTTAATAAAAGAAACTGGACAAGAGGAGAGACCTAAGCATGTGTACATGACACATTACATTGGTCTTGCCCATCTTTTAGATACAGACAACATATTAGTGTTTCTTAGTAGTAAGGTTCCTCACCTACAGAGAAGTTAACACAGTCATCTTCCATGCACCTAAAATTTAAACTGAGACAAGAACAGATATGTCTTTCTTTGTTTTCTGGCTTTCAAAGTGTAGATTGTGTTAGTACACACCCTTCTTTATCAAATGAATTAGTTCCTCATAATAAATTTCACAATACACACATTTCACACATATATCTCAGTATGTGTTCATTACATGCATTTTTATATAATACATAGTCACATTTTATTGTTTTTATTATTTCTTTGAAAATACTGACAATATATATGTAGCTATATCCACATGGAATCAATAAAGTTTTATCAATCACGTGAAATATCTGGATAATTAAAAATCAATCTTTGTAGAAGCTAATGTTTTAGTTAATGTCAATGGAATGTGAGATATATTGAAAAATAATGCCTTACTTTAAACCCAAACTCTACAATTCTATATTATAAAGCAAACATATAATATATATGTATATATATATTCAAAATCATTTTAAAATTAGCACCAACAAGATATATATATATATAATGTCTTGATACCACATACATTTAAGAAACCACCTGATTCCTTATTGTGATTTTTAAAGTTGGGAATATTTTTGCATCTTTACATTCTGATTCCTGCTTTCACGCTGCGGGAGTATCTTCCACTGCTTCAGCCAATAGTCGCTGAAGCACGAGCCCAAGGTGCTGTGAGAGCACCTTCCGCTCCTTCAGCCAATAGCCCCTGAAATACCAGCCCACTGGGACGTGGTATATTTCTCTTTTAAAAAGAGCCGCAGAACTCGGTTCGGCCCTCTTGGTTCCGGCGCTTGGTCCCGGCTCCTGCTCCTGGCTCCTGCTCCAGCGACTAGGCTCCCTTCCTGACGGTTTATGGTGTATGTAAGTTCCCCCCCCCCCAAAAATAAATAACCCCTTAAAACATAACTGGTGTGGGATTGATTCGCTGTTACTTTCATCATGCGTCTGCACACACAGCAGCTACTCACTCTCCATCTTTCTCCCTGGTCTTTATGCTGTTTTGTGATAGTTACATTCTTCTGGCACAGGAAGTAAAATTCTTACACAGCAGTCCTTATGCATCAAAGGAATGGAAATGAAGGCAAAGTTTTGCAATTATTTGCTCGTTGCCACTTACCTGCCCAGAAGCAGAAACTCTCCGGCTAGACCCAAGCGCCTCATGGCCATCAGCAGACCTCTCACTGTCATGCCTTCACAGAAGCAGGCTACCACCCGGGCCTTGGGCAAATGGCTTCTGAGCTTTTTCAACAGCTTGTCGAAGCTCTGCTCCCCAGCATTGCTGTAGATTTTGTAAGAGTGGGCAATGCAAATCCCTTCCTTGGCTGACATATCTTTGAAAGCCTCCATCCCGCTTTCTCCATAGTTGCCTGTATGAAAACAAATATACAAAAAGAGATATTGCATTGAGAGAAATGCATTGATTAGATACAATAAGAATCTTTTCTCTTAATTGAAATGTAGAACAACTTGTTTCAGTACATACATACATTATACAAGGTTCAAATTGTTACATTTCTTTTGTTTCCTCAAATTTTATTCTTTTACATTGAAAAAATCCAACAGTTGTTTCTTCAAGATTTTCAAAACGAACGTTCATGATATCATCTAATCAGGACTTCTTTCTCCAAACTATGATAATACAGCTTACCATCTTTGTTTTGTCTCTTCCTTTTATACTCGCCTCCCACCCTCTGGTTACCACCATTTACCGTTTTGCTCTCAATTCCTGTCAAAACAGCTTTTCTAGATGGCTCTTACCAGTGAGGTCATGTGGTACTTATATTTCAGCGCTTAACTTATTCACATGATATATTGTTACCCATCCATGTTGTCACTATAGCAGGCTTTTATTCTTTCTTATGACTGAATAATATTTGATTGTGTAGGAACCAAGTGTTCATCAATAAAAGAACATATAAGATGTTTTCATTTATTAACAACATCAAGTACAGCCTCAATGGCCATGAATGTGAAGTTGTCTCTTCAGCATTCAAACTTGTCTGCTGTTTAATATGTACTCCTACCTTAATATAAAATGATAGAAAGCATCCGCTGGCTGTTTTTATTCTATGCTCTCTCTTTCCCTCTTTGGTTGTCATTGGATGATCATTGCATCCCACCGCTGGGGTTCAAATATGGTTTATCCTCCAAGGATCCTGTTTTGGGGGGTCTGGTCTGCAATGTGCTCACACTGATGTGATGGAAATTTTAAGTGAGCTGAAGAAAATGTGACCAGAACATCAGCATTCATTCTCAGAAGACTTCTGCTAGCAGGTGGGTAAAGTCTGCCAGGACAGATTAGTTTTTACTTCTCATGAAAAGGGAATGTTTGGTTCTTACACAACATCTTGCCTTTTTGCGTGTACACATTCTTTTTCTACCTGAAACTGATTTCCTTTATCTCTCCCCATAATTTAATAATAAAATCAAACATTGCCACTATGCTATTTAGACTTCCAACCTCACCAAAGTACTGATCCAAATAAACCTCTTTTTTACATACATAATCTAGCATTAAGTATTCTGTTGTGGTAACACAAAATATATCACAATTGGTCCTTTAGCCAAAGTATGTACATAAGGTTTATTCACAGTATACATATGCATATATTTAGATACACAGTGTGTGCATGCAAGCATATACAAAATACATACTATATAAATGAAATCGGTGTGATAGAAATATTATAGAACGTCTTAGTATATAAAATGTTGGCGATACAGAAGTCCTTGTACTCCCTTTGTCCTTACAGAGAAGCACTAAGGGAACCAGCGCTGCTAATCTCACAGAGATGTCTCCTCAAGAGAGGAGATAAAATCAAATGCCTACACTCCATCTAGAAATCTGAAAGTGGAGGGAATTAACAACTTGGTGATCATTTTGCTATCTGAAGGGACAGATTTCATCCTAATTCCCCAGAATGATCACCCCAGACTCGTCCCTCCCTATCCATTACCCATCCTTGGATGTCACAGTACTTATGGCCGCTGACCTCTGCACTATCAGTCAGGAACCACACTGGATTCTAGGCCTTTTAGCTACAGAAACAAACCTCGTGGTGATGTGTACTTTATAACTAAGTCACTGTGTGGTCACAACTTATTCTTTATTGTGCTCCTGGAACTGGACAGACTGGACTGATTAGTACCTAGAAACCTTTCCCAATCATACTGTGTTTTAAATATACTGACAATGAACTAACTGCCTGGCATTAGACTTCCTGAAGTCTGATCCAAGTTAATAAAGTCCAAGTTTACATTCTTGTCTCTTTATGTGTTTTATTTACCTCTGGGAACTCTCCTCAATAAAATGTGTATTTTATGTAATATATTAATTGTCATGAATTTATTACTTGGTGTTCTAAATGCAAAGGACCCAATATATTCTCAACTAAGATAAATCCTGTCATGAAAATGTATAAACTTATTTTAAAAATCCAATTTTCATTCTATATAATCAAAGAGCAGTTAATGATATGGATAATTCCAAAATCCAATTGCATGCAAAATATGATTTTAGAGGTGAAAATCTGTTCATCTTTTTCTTCTTCCTGCTTTTTTATTTATTTTTGAGACTTTATTATTTACAATTTTTCTCTTCCATTTTCCCCTTCAAATTTCCTCATAACACAACTTTCTTCAAATTTATGATTTCATTCCATCAATTTTTATTGCATGCATACATGTATTTTTATTTCTATATATTCCCAAATATAAACTGCTGAGTCCATGTAATATTACTTGTATACTTGTTTTCAGGGCTGACTGTTTGGCACTGGACAACCAATTGATATTCTCTTTCCTGTGGTGTGTTACCACTTCTGCTTCCAGATTTGCTCAGTGTCCTGTAGTTCTTTGTGTATGGTTGGGGTTTTATAGGATTTCTACATGACATTTGGCAACTTTTACAGTTGTTAGGAGCCTTGCTGATCAGAGGCTGTGGTCTGCCATAGCCTAGCAACTTTCTTTAAGCTCAGCAACGTGGAGGACTTATTGCCCTCAGAAAAAGCTTCCTGCTCTCTACCTAGCTTTATCTGGAAGATGTCTCCTTGCCCAGGATTCCTGACTTATTTCAAGGGTGACCCTTGACACAATTTCCTGTAAATAGTATTTCCCTGATGATACACATGGTAATTAAGCAAGTGATATAGCGATTTTGATAGGGCCATGGTTTCATTAATCCAGATATATGATAGAAGTGTGACACCTAATTCAAATTAGGGTTTGTCCCCAGGGTCCCCAATTCTATATATTTGATTTACCCCAAGATAAAGGTGAGGTGAATCACCCAAGTCTGTCTTCCTGAGTATTGTTTCCTTTGCACCCATGGCCATCTGAACCCTGTTTTCTGCTTCTGTTCTCTCTACCCTTCTGGACTAATGCAACCAACAATTCTGAGGATCATTGCAGACGTTGAGCTACATAAAGTCACAGGAAAAAGAAGATTAAGATTGACAGTCATCTGTGAGAGGAATCACACCAGGGACATTATATAAGTTATCCCATTGAATTCTTATAATAATATATTGAGGTGTATGTTATTACAGGCATTCCATAGACGACACAGTCAGTACCTTCAAAGCTCAGAGTTATAAATATGACTAGTATGTAAAGGCTGAGTTCCATGCAGCTCCAAAAGCAAAGATTTCTCTCACTCTGTTCTTCTATAATTGACCCCCGAGAACCTCAGAAGTCCAATTATATAGGCCAGATAGATTGGCACGAAGAATGTGCGGGTATTATTAGACAGCTAAGCTGTAGAATATAAAAGTGTAACTAGCCTAAAATCAGGTAGGCATAGAAGGTGGTATCTATCAAGAACAGCAAATATCAAGTAAATGAGAGCTATAAGGCACCCAGTTACAGAGCCCTGGGCTATACAAAGATAAAAGTCAGCAAACAGGTAGGTGGGTAAACCTGGGCTGGAGCACACATCTCGATTTTGCTACTGTGCTTTACTAACACACAAGTGCTGTACTCAGATGAGCTCCTCGGATTTTCAGGATGCAATATTGCATACTTCTATCCACACACATCATATAGGAGAACACATTAGCTTGGCTTGCAGCCCAAACATGGATGTGCAAACTGCGTGGATTTCTCTTTATCTCTAGAATTAGAAGCAATGAGAAACCTCTGTGAAAGTGGCAGGTGGACGGTCAGGTTATTTTGTAATTAACAAAGTTTAAAGGGTGCTCTTTGGAAAATGTGCCAAGAGGCCTCAATTATTGACTTTACACTAATCTGAGTAATCTACTATTCTTTTCTATTTGGACAATTTTATATTTAGATAGTTTCTCAGCTCTTTTGCTAGCAATGTTCGGATTTAAGATAGAGTCGTTCATATAAATTGCTTGAAATTAATCATAATGATTATGATATAAATAATAAAAGCAAATAAATTCATAATCAAACAAGAAAATGTATCTGAAAGCATCATGATCTTTAACTTGCTACCTAGCAATTTCGCTTTAACACTGTCTCATTATGCAACATGTTACATAAAGCAAGTTGGAATAGAGAAGAGATATTTGTATTAAAACTTAATTTAGCTTCAATTTGGAAACTATATCCTTAGCTTTTTAACCTAAAACAAAACAACACACTTAAATCTTTGCAGTGCATTTATTTCACACATTTAGAGTATCTGGTAATTAGCTTGGACTCCATTTCACCTATTAAAGTATCTCTACTTGAACATCCCGCAACATATTGAAGCTAATAGCATTATTCATGAACTTTAGACACAATGTTAAGCTTAAAGCAGAAGAAGAAAATGTGATTTCTCAGAGGCACACCTAAACTGTCCTAGATAAAAGAAAGATGACATAGGGGACATCCTTCTACTCTCTACTCTTTTTTATTTCAAACTTACAACCCCTCTAAACAGTTTAGACATAGATTTGATATAAAATGTTTATAATATCTCAACTTGGATTTATTTTCAAGAGTTCAGTGTAATCTGATAATTTAAAAAGGAAGCTATGGAACTGGCTAAGTAACTCAGAGGCTAAAGGTGCTTCCTGCTGAGACTGAAGACTTGTGCTTAATCTATAGAACTCTCATTACAGGAATAGGGAACAGACCCCTGCAAATGGTCCTCTGACAATACACAGGCACTCTGTACCATGTGTATGCACAGGTGTTCACACTGTCTCTTTCAGATAGACACAGATAAGTAAATAAAAGCAAAAATATAAAAAACATGAGCATATATATTTCAATAAATGGGAAATTTGAAGTAAAGCTGTATCTAAGAATTCATATAAACTCTGTATTATATACACATTTGGAAACAATGGGAACCTTGGGAAAATGTCTGCAAATTTCTTAGACAGAGAAATAGATTTTTAAGTAACATATATAC